CTTTCTAATGGGTGTTGATTGGGGTCACCCAGCTGTGTCTTGATCAAAATACATCTGTTATTTTAAAGAAGCCTCATCTCAAGTTTTTATTTGGCTTTTATTGAAACTTGGGAATAAAAGGTGCCATACAGTATAATAGGATATAATAGAATCTTGATATAATAGGGCTATAACAACAGAATCTTGACAGCCTGCCAGAGTTTCCTTCTGTGTTGGCTTATACCATGCAGGATCATATGTGTGTGTGTGTGTGTTATTTTGAAACTCTTCCTTATGCCTCTTTCCCAGGACTTAGATTTCATTTCCTGTCTCTTATCTGTTAATGGCTTTCCTGGGTGGAACTGCTTCTCAGGCTTCCCACCCATTGTTTGTTTGTTTTTTCATTCTTGGTTGTGTACTATGTACCAGGTATACTTGGATGTTGGGTGAACAGTGGTTTGGGTTTGGTACACTGTTCATGAGGACAATTATTTTGGGCTTTTGGAGTCTGCTTCTGGAGAATAAGAACTAGCCCACGGGGAGAAGAAATTATGCTTATCTGGGGCCCACATGGAGACCAGCAAAAGACTGAATCCTTTCAGTTTTTCAACCTGCAGCCATCCATGTTATTTACCCCTTTGATTTGTTGGACTGGAGAATTAGGCAGAGTTGGCGAACTTTGATAGTGGATGAGCTGCGGTGCTCGGAACTGTTGGTATTTCTGCGCGGTCACTGTTACGGGCTCATGGGGCCTAAGAAGCTGGAGAACTACATTTAACTGCACTTTAGAGTCTGAGGCTAGCATAGCCTCATTTTACTGTGAACCTTTCTTTCGTTCCTGGCAGTAACTCAGTGGGATCTCTGTTTGAATTCCGACTGTAAGACCTGTAAGATTGCAATTTCAATCTAAATTATTGGCAGGACTGGGCCAACTAAAGGAGCTGCTGAGTCTGGAATGGCTAACAAGGTGACTGCTGACGGAACATGGGGAGGGGCTCTTGACCTCTCACACCAATTTAACCCTGCTTGAAGTAAGAAGCAGATGGAGGCAAAATCTGTGACACTTTGGCTTTATTGAGAATAGTAATATTCCCATGGTGTTGGGTTATGAGAGATATGGTTGAGAGCACTGAGCACATTGTTTCAGGGTGAGGGAGACCTCCAGTGTAGTAGTGATCTAAACTTCCAGTCTAATCACTCCATTCTGGGAACCAGGTGGCCATTTTGCTGGTAACTTAGCTCTTGGTGCTGGAAGCATATAACACTTATTTTGCAGGCCCTGCATTGGTTGCTGATTGGCTTCCAATTTAAGGTGCTAGTGTTCACCTATAAACACTTCATGACTTGGCACCTGGTTACCTGTAGCTCTGCCTGCTCCAACTGGAATCATCTGGATTCACTGGATTCTCTAGGGAACAATTGTATTTTGCCCCACACTTCCAAGAGGTGTGGGGGAAAGGAACTAGAAGATGCTGCTTTTCTGTTTTGGTGCTGATGCTTTGGAATAGCCCCTGGTGAAGATCAGACTGGCTTCTTCTTTGTTGATTTTCAGGAACATGGTGAAAATGGAGCTATTTCAGAAGGCATTCTCCTAATTTTGTTTTTGTTTTCTCATTTGTTATTTTTATTTTCAGAGTTTTATGATGTTATCTTTTAGCCATACTGTGGATATTTTGCCTTTTTTGTTACATTATATTCTATAGAAGCTGCTGAGAGTTAGATTGCAGTGGGTATAAGCCTATTAAATAAATAAATAAAAATTACCAAGACATAAATAATTACATTGTTTCTTTGGATACTACTTCACAAAGAAAAGGTTTTATCAGTTACAATGTTTAAACTATGGACTAGTCTTTAAAAAAAAAGGTTTATAAAAACCCCTCCTTGCTTCATGTTAAATAGGATATTAGGTGCATTTTATTCTCATGGTTAATCATTTTAAATAATTTTACAATATGAGCAGAATAAGATGTTTAAAATATGTGTTCTAAAGTCTTGTGGATGTTTTTTATGAGTTGCTTTGTTGATGTTTACCTGCTATATTTTAGTTATGATTTGTATTTGTATAGAATCTTGAATGTATAGAAATTCAATTACCTTCATTATAGAAAGGTGGGAGTTAAATAGCATTTCCTCTGTCCAGTGCAACAAGCAACTCTTGAAAGGAATTTCAGAAGTAGGCGGTATTAGGGCTCATTGATCAAAGCAGAATGGGTTGGGATGAGGGGATCAGATACTTACCACTGGACAATGATTAAATATTTTGAATCAGCCAGATATCTTGGTTAACTATGAACCACATGTTCACACAAATATAATTTTTCCTTGCTTGTAGAAGCAATAAAAATCATATTTATAATATTTTCATGTTTTTAACAAGGAACACTTTGAATTTGTCAAGAATATATTGGAGAAAGAGGAAGAAGTATGGTTAGATGATCTCTAACATATCTTTGATAGTTTTTAATTGCTTTTCTGTTTTTAATATGTGTATTAATACCACATTAAGAATTGTAAAGAGGGTTAAAGAGAGCATAGATGGCATAAATTGCCTGTTTATTCCTGTATTGTTGGTTTAGTTGCATATGACCCCAATATCTGTCAATGATATTTATCCTTCAATTTATACATTTTTCTTATGCTTCAGTTGGAAACAAACTTAGAACTTTCTCCTCTCTTAGAGGCCTTCCTTAAATTCTGACGTTCTAAAATATTTTGTTGTATGTAAGAAATGCTGATGCTTTTGATTTACTCCGTTATTAATGATCCATATTTCTCTTCCTCTAGCATCAGCACCAGCCAGAAGCATTGCTAAGCACAGAATTTCTCCCACCATCAATTCCACCTGGGAAAAGAGAAGCATCATCATGTCTAATATTACCATTGATCCAGATGTCAAACCTGGTGAATATGTCATCAAGAGCCTCTTTGCTGAGTTTGCTATTCAAGCTGAAAAGAAAATTGAAGTTGTAATGGCTGAACCTTTGGTGAGTTCTGTTATGCAGCCTTCTTTCAGTTTGTATTTTTCTTAAATTATTTAATCTTAATTTGAAAACAACAATGAAAAGCCATAATATGCAGTGAAGCATAAGGAAATCCTATATTTCCTCTCCTTTCCTTTCTTCTTTCATGTAGCTAATTGCTTGTTAGATCAGAGTTGGAAGGATGTTAACCACCAGGCCAAATTGGCTCATTTTTAT